AATGCTGCCACCCTTTCATACAGTTCCTCATGTGGTGGGGACCCCCCTCCCCAACCATAAAGTTATTTTCATTGCTATTTCATCACTGTCATTTTGCTACTGTTATGAATCGGGCCGACCCCCAGGAAAGGGTCATTCGAATTCCAAAGGGGTCGCAATCCGTTCCAGAGCCTGGGCACCTCGGGAGAATAGAACGGCTCCACCGAGTTTCCTTGGCTGTAATCTCTGTGGAAGCGGATCACCGGGCCTTGCTTTAGGATGGTAGTCAAGCACAGTTGGCACCACCCAAGGACCAGTGAAATTAGAGGGGCTGTTTGGTTCCTGTGGAATTGAATGGGCTCGAAGAGGGCTGCAAGTGGTATAGGGCTAAGTCATCATCCTTCCTCAGAGCAAACCAGACCGCTTCCACCACATGGTCTGGGGGCATTTTGTAGGTCTTGGATTCCTAAGAGTTGGTTTATTTTCTTCCTGGACAACTCCATCACAGCGGTAAGCTTGTTTTTAACCCATTCATCAAGTCAGTGGTTGCCTCAGATCACAACTCCAAAATCACTGCCATCCAGGCAGTGCTGACTCAAAGCGACCCTAGAGGGCAGCTTGCATTGCCCCTGTGAGTTCCCAAGACTGCAACTGTTTAAGGAGAAAGGCCCACGTTTCTCCCTTGGAGCAGCTGGTGGTTTGGAACTTCGGGTTTTGTGGACCCAAGGCCAAATTATAACCACTATACCGCCAGGGCTCCCACGTGAAGAAATATTCAAGCATGTTCCAAACTCAAGGGGTTGCTGGGATCCAGGTGGAAAGGGTACACCTTTAGTGGTGTTAATCGGTAAGTAAGGTCCCTGTATGGAGCAAACCATTTGCACACGATTACTAACTGGAAGGTTGGCAGTTCAAACCCACTCAGTAGCACTGTGGAAGAAAGGCCCGGTGGTTTGTTTCCATCAGAATCAAGAAATGGTACTCTATCATGCTCGGGGTCACCATGAGTCAGAATTCACTCAACGACAGTGGGCTTGGCTTTGGTGTGATTGGGAGGCCTACATGATGAAAGATAGCAGGTGTCCAGGAAAGACACAACTGGGTTCCCAAAGAGGAGTCAAGAATTCAAAGTCTTTCAGACGACCTCTTGTACAGCAAGAAATGTATAAGCCTCCTGAGCTGAGTGGCTCTCAAGTTCCCCATGGCCAACCATGTCCTGTTGGGACTCTGATGAGTCCACCTTGACCTGGAGTTGAGCTTCTCTGCCCCAGCCTCCCAGCTTCCAGGTGTCAACACAGCCTACCTAAGGTGTGCAATTTGGGCCCTTCCCCAGGGAATCTGGAAGAAAAGCTAGCCAGAACTAGTTATGTACATGCTTAGACGCTTTAAGAAGGGAAGAAACAGAGACCCAGAGAAAGAGCAGAGCAGAGGCCAGAGCTCGCTGGGCCTAGTGAGGAGAGAGCATCACTGGTCACTTTCCAGCCCGGTCCTCTTGAGGGCCCATTGTACTTCTGGGGGTCTTTAAAAATGACCTCATCTTTGTAATGAATGTCCTTTGTCCCCCCTCTGAATTCAAGCTACCAACAATGACTTTGTATTCCTATAAGCTTATCCCTGGGGAGCCCTGGTAACTTAGTGGGCTTAGCTGTTAGCCCGGTCAGTGGTATGAACCCACCAGCCACCCCACAGGAGACAGATGGGGCTTTCCACTCCCACAAAGAGTTACAGTCTCGGAAACCCACAAGGGCAGTTCTACCCTGACCTGTAGCCTCGCTATGACTCAGAATCGACTCCATGTCGACTCCATGGCCAATGACCTGAGTCTTGAAGGAACCCTGGTGGTGCAGTGGTTAAAGCATTTCAGCACTAACCAAAAGGTCTGCCGTTGAAGCCACCAACCGCTTCATGGGAGAAAGATGCGGCAGCCTGCTTTCCTAAGGACTTACCCTAAGGGGCAATCCTACTCTGTTCTGTAGGCAGCCCCGCGTCCTGGGCCGCACTTGGAGGCACCACTAAGGTTTCTATTAACCTTCGCAGTCTCCATCCCCGGCGAGGAGAGCTCTTTCCGCAGGTGAAACGAACACTTTGTGCAGTTGCGCGCCTCCATTTGTCTGGTGCAGGCAGATGTGTGGTCTTGCTCTGCTGAGGATAGGAGAAGAAACTGAGGGGACAAGGTGACTCGGATCACATCGCAGACCAGTTTTCACCGGAGAAAGCAAGGAGATTATCATCGGAACGCTTTTGTAGCATTATAATGTGCTCAGGAAAAGATTAACAGGCTTGGCTTGTATCTTTGAGCTGCTACTATGGTAATGCTATCTAAAATGTGGCTTTCAGGGCCTGGGGTATAATTTCAATGTGTGTCGTAGGTGCGATTTTCCATCGATCGACAATAGGGTCCCTGTGAGTCAGTATCAACTCGAGGGGAACAGATTTGAGTGTTAATTTGTTTAAACTATTAGTTTCGGCAAAGAGAAGTGGGTTTCCCAGGGTTTGGTCTTACTCTACAGACTCACAGGAGCCCTGGTGGCATAGTGCGTTACACTCTGGGCCGCTAACTGCAAGGTCATCCGTTCAAAACCACCAGCCACTCCTTGGGAGAAAGCGGACACTGTCTAACTCCCATAAAGAGTTACAACCTCAAGACCCCACAGGGGCGGTGCTGTGCCACCCCAGGGGGTCACTGAGTTGGAATGGACTCTGTGGCACTGGGTGAGCCGAAATGAGCCCACAGACCCACAGTGGAGAGAGGCCGGAGGCATCTGGATCGCTCCAGTGGGACATGGCCATTCTTTCTTCACGTTACTTACCACTGAGGGCCCACCGTTTTGCCTGCATTCCCGTTCCATCCCAAACTTGGGAGGAATATTCGGAGCGATTGCTTCCGTTTTCCAGGAACACGGAGATGGCAGCAGCAGACCCAGGAACCGGGCATCCAGATCTGCCTGGCCACCGACCTACTCGCTCGGAGGCCCCGCCGTGCTGGAGAGGGAACGGGGCTCCCAGGCCACCTCAGTCTTGGGCTGTGTCGAGAGGACGTGGCTAAAGGGGCTGTCGGGGCTGCCGCTGCTCTGGACAGTGAGCAGGTTGAGTGAGCAGGAAAGAGGCTGAGAAGGGGAGTCTTCAATCTTGCCTTAGTCTCTGGTTGTCAAGCATTGCGGTCATTATACTGCGCACTGTCCCTAATGTCCTGTAACTGCCCAAGGAGTTGTGACCATGGCAACGTGATGCAGCAATACAGCGTTTCTACAAACAGCCCCGGCCTTGAGGGGCAAAGCCTATTCCCCAAGACAGAAAGCACGCATGCCTAGGAATACCTGGCACTTACCTGCTGAGGTGGATGGGACCCGGGGACTCTCCCGAGCAGGAAATATGCCGGTGCCAGTGTCTGATTGTCTAATAGTCACCTTCTAATCTTGAACTAATTTACAATCTGGGCTTTTGTTTTTTTCACAAGAGAGTGTCGGTAACGTGTGGGCTGCCTTTGAAAACTTCAGAGCCATTCCCTCCCATCCTGGGCCTTCATTCCCTGCCAGGTGCCTCCAGGGAGAGTGTAGGGGCCCTGCCTGGTGAAAGCCTGTTTGTGGCTGCCTTTGGGATTTGATTAAGGGGAGATAAGCACAAGATGGTGAAAGGTTACCTTCCTTAGTTTCGAAAATAAAGGTACGCATTAAGCTATTAACCGCAAAGTCAGCAGTTCATCCCCGCCCGCCCCTCACCGCCCCCCAGTCACTCTGTGGGAGAGTCGTGAAGCTGTCTGCTCCCATAAAGATTGACAGCCTCAGAACCAAACCCCAGCGAGCAGCCCCACTCTGTCCCATAGGGTCACTCTGAGTGAGGATCCGCTCTTCATGGTTTTCTATGATCTGGTCACCACACAGCCTCTTTCCCCTTGCCATTTTTGTTGCTTTAATTCTTGAGCTCAAAATCCCCTGAGCTTTCACAACTCTGCTCCCCAGCATTCCCAGCGCCTGTGTTTGCACCCAGATTTCCCCAAACACATGGGAATTAGACCCGTTTTGTGGAGTGTGACAAATACATTGAACTCAGAGACCCCAAGTCCTCCCTCCACTCCCTGTAGTTGAATGAATGCCTTGTTTGGCAAGAAGCGGCCATGATACCAAGAGATACATGAAAATGATTTTGGATGATGTCATGGAGGCTTATGGAGCATAACAGCATACCTGCATAACAGCATATCTCTCTGCCCCCCTGCCGCCCCCACCCTCCTCCCCCCGAGTTGCACGCACTTTGTCATTCAGCTGGTCTGTTAGACATGTGACGGGCTAGCAACCCTCTCCTCACTCGTCTCTGGCTGGGTGGGGTGCTTGGCGCTTTCCCAGCTCCATCAAGGTTCTTGGGAAAGTGTGACAGTGTGGCCTCCGAGTTGCAAAGTGGCGCATGCTAGAAGACGCAGAAGGCCTCCTTTGGCTGACGGATTTGAATTCCCCATCCCCACGTCCCAGATTCGGCGGCTCTTTCTGACAGATGTCAGCCGCTGCCTGTCCTTACAAAGGGCTCCGAAGCTGGAGGCCTTTTCCTGTAGGTGGAGGCTGAGGTACCCAGAAGTGCGCCGCTGCCAAAGACGGGTTTGACGGCAGTGCCGAGGCAGGCGCGGACAGATCCCTTTGGCGAGGGAAGCACATGACACACAGAGAGACTCACAGAGAACATGGTAAAGTTGCTCTCGGAGGAGCCTGCCCAGGAAGGCCTACCCTCTGGCTCCCCCGGCATGTTTGCTGAATTCTCTTTTTCTAGGAAAGCTTGCTGGCTCGGTGCTTCCTTTGCAAAGAGAGGGGAAGCCCCAAGACCTGGGTGATCCGCTTCCCTCTCTCTGTCTTGCAGGATGAATTTCCCTGCAAGCAGTAAGAAATGTGTGCCCTGTTGAGTTAGTTTCCTGCTGGGTGGGGGCAGCGTCCTGCTACCGGGAGGACAATCTTCCCAGCAAGGGGGTACGGGGAGATGGATGAGCCGCTTACTGAACTGATGGGCACATGCTTCGGGTGTCTTCCCTCCGGCAGGTTCACCAGTACTACAGCTGTCTCCCAGAAGAGAAGGTCCCCTACGTGAACAGTGCCGGGGAGAAACTGAGAATCAAGCAGCTGCTGCACCAGCTGCCCCCCCACGACAATGAGGTAAGGGGGCTGGCGGGAGTGGGGGAGAGGGGCCTTCTCCTAGAGTCTTCTGTGAATCGTCGCCTTCCCCGTCATCAGAAGGCTGTGGTCAAGCGAGATCTCCCGAGAAAAAGTCTGGCAGTCTACTTTAAGTTTTCGCTTCCTTAATTGGAGCCTAAAGCAACGTCCAGCACCTTCTAGGGAGTGTTCCTTACGAGCAGGGCCGTGTCAGGGACTGCCTCTCAGGCTTGTGGGGTAACCGGGCAGCCCTGACATTTTAAAGCTCAAATCGAGGCGGTCGTACTCAAAGAGGAATGTGCCACGCTGGTTGCCCATGCGTGTTGGAGACCTGATCGGAAGTGCCCTGAGCCAATTCAAGCTGAGCACATTCTTTGTGACTCTCTGGAAGGTTCGGCGTCCCTCACATTAGACGGGAATGCAAGTTGTCCACGTGACACTGCAGTTGGAAGTGGGGTGGCCCAATATGCCCGTGGCCGAGGGCTCTGGTGTGCCAGGGTTCAGCGTCTGTGCTCTTGAAAGGGTGTGACGCACAGACTGCCACGGTGCCCGAAAGCAGTACAGAGGCTTGCCAGAAGACCTGTCTTATCTTTGAAGTCAGATTGATCGCGGAGGGAAATCTGTAAGCATGCTCTTTTGAAAGATGATCCCCTGGCAAGAGATTGGGCTTGTAAAGTAGAAATTACTTTTTAAGTGTCTGGTTTTGAAATAAAAATAGCAATCCTATAGAATTGAATGCGTTGTTCGCTGAACTCTGGCTGTATCGAAAGCAAAAGAAAAATCCTTTGAAATCAAAAGAAGAATTGACCCCTTTCGCAAATTAAACATTAGCTTTCTACCATCTTTTTCTACCCGCACCTAGACCCCTGCTGCTCAATCCCAGGGGGAAATGAATGCGTGTCTTTTCATCTTATCTGACCTGAGTCAGAATCAACTCGATGGCAGTGGGTATTGGGATAAAATAAATGTAAGAAGGAGCTGCAGGCCACAGGTAGTTTATGAATGTTGGTGGTTCTAACCCACCCTGCAGCACCAAAGAATAAAGGCCTGGTGTTCTCCATCCACAAAGATTACAGCCA